GCGCATGTGTGGATTGTCCTTGGCAGCTTTTGTGATAAGAAGTAGTTCAAGAAGCCAATTTAAATGTGAGAGAAGGAATCAATGAGTCCATGATTGCTTTTAACCGGCCTTTGGGAGGCTGAGGTAGGACGATTGCAAGTTCCAGCTAACCCTGGGCCTAACCAGTGCAACTTAGAGAACTGTCTCAAAATAAAAAATTAAAGAAGGACTGGGTATGTAACTCAGTATAAAGGCTCTGGCTGCAGTCCCCAATATCAGAAGAAAAGAAAAAAAGATATCCTATGATTGGTTTTAAAACAGTTCTTTTGGACAAAAGTATTTGTAGATGACACCATCCAAATGAACAAAGTAATGAATGTAAATGTTTAGACGCTTTGTGTGAATTAGATATACATGAATTTGTAGCAGAATCTGCATGTGGGAATCCTGTTATAGTGAAAAGATCTTGCCAAAGAAAGCTGAAAATGTAAGTAAGCATCAGATCGTATGAGTGTGTGTCTAATATGATATATTCTAACAGCTTACAAAACAGTGCACTCCATTATAAGATATTAAGTTTATATTTAATGTTATTGATGGAAAGAGATGTGAAATGAGCTTGGGATTGCTCTTTGTGCTTTATCCTGATCCAGGAGTTGGAAAGGAAAAAAAATATCCTTCACATACATGCTGGATGAAGTAACCTTTTAATAGCATTATTCTTAAATGAATAATGGGTATTTTGCTGAGCTAAGATAAGAAGTAGAGCATTTGCCTGAAGGTACAAATAACTTTTTCTGGGGACATTTTAGAGCCATATTGCAGAGATTGTTGGAGGAAAGAGCAGGGTTTTTGTGAGACTCACAATCTTTTGTGTGTTGACTTGCTTGTAAAAGTTGTTAAATTACTTGATTGGAGATATTTTCAAATTAGCAAAATTAGAGTCTGCCTCCTCTCTCAAACATTTTTTGTCAGATTTTGTTGTGCCAGTGGTCTTGGAAAAGAGATTACTGAGTTATTTGTGCTTTTTGTTACTTGTGGTGTGAAGAGACGTTAATGGATCACAGAATTCACAAAGCAATCTAGCAGAAAAAGTCTTGTATTTTTCACTTGCCTTATGAAATATCAGTTTACATAATTCAGGAGCAACTTTATTTTTTAATTGTGCTACATTGTTTTCATAGTAATCAGAAGTAGATCCATAAAGTAACCACTTCTGAGAATATTGTACAATTCTAAAAAAATAAGGGAAAGACACATGAGATTTGGCTTAGTTGGTACAAATAATTCATTTGTTTTCATGATCAAACCGTACTGAACAAAGAAGCTGAGTTGTTTGCTTTTTTGATGATTTATTCATATACTTTCATTTTGTCTTAAGTTTAAATTTAGTGCGGAATAATACTTCAATTTACTATTTTCCTTCTACCTACAGTATGTACACCACACAGATTAGTCTCTTATCTGAAGATTTGCTTTTACTTTCAGTTCTCTGCAGTTGTATAATAAAATTAAAGTGTGAGCATGAAGCTCATCAATGACTTTAGTTGGGAAAGATGGCTGGTCCATCGGAAGAGAGCACCAGGATTCAAAAGAATCTTCATTACAGTGGTATTCAGAAATTGAAATGAGATTAAATGGATAAAAGTTGGGTATAGTCAGAGCTCTATGAGTCAGGGCCTTGCTGTGTAGTTCAGGCTGGCCTCCAACTTGTGATCCTGCTCCAGTCTCCCAAGTGCTAGGATTATAGGCCTGCGCCACTCTGCCTCTCTGAGACATTTTTAGTTTGTTTGTTTGTTTGGTACTGGGGATCGAACTCAGGACCCTTGTAATTGTGAGGCAGGTGCAGTGCCACTGAGCTAAATCCCTGGTCCTCTGAGACATTTTCAGATTGTAGGTAATAGAAATTATCCTGGATTTGAGGCACCTGAGGAAAAGGGAGAGGGCTTTCTTTACCTCTTCATAACCTTTTCTTCTCTGTGGCATGAGGATAAAGATATATGTTGCTCAGATTTCGGGCTGGGGATTTAGCTCAGTGGTTCTGCCACCTGCTTAAAAAATAAAAAATAAAAGATACATATCGCTCAGATTTCTAAGAGGATAAATTGACAGTGTGTTTAAATATGCTTGGCATAGTATAAAGAATTAGATACAAATTTCTTTCATTTACAAGAGGGGATACTCTGGAGGCACAAACCACTATACCCTTTATCTATATTGAGATTAGGTGTGTGTGTTACAGGCACAGATGAATGTTTAGTACTATATTAGTACATTGGGCCAGAGCTAGCAGTCCTGGATTCTGGTTTGGGTGTTATTTTTTAGCCGAGTGATACCTATTTCTTCATCACAATTGGTGTCCAGAATAACGTCATGATAGTGAGTTATTGAATACAGGGCACTCTGTAAATTAGAGAATGCCTTGTAAATAAGTTTATAGACAAAAGGACACAGGAAGAAGAGAGGGAACCCTCCATTGCTGTCTTTCGTCTTATTAATCTTTCCCTGCTTTGTTTTTGGTGTTAATACCATTCAGGAAACATATGGCACACTCCTGAGTGACTAAGGAGAGTTTTATAATGGGACTGTTTACAAAGATTTGGACCAGATACAAATAGTTAAGGAGTGGCAAGAACCAGGCAAAGGGAGAGAGCAGTTACTGGAACTCAGAGAGGGTAACTGTGTGTGGAGGGTCCCCCAGCAGGAGCTGTGGCCTTTTGGAGACACCTGTGTGGTGGCCCACAAGAAGGAAGCTGAGAGAATAAATGCCCTCCCTCTTTCTTCTCTTTTTGGCCCCAGAGGACAGAAAGCTGTTGATAAAACTACCTAACCAAGATGAAATGGCAGAGAAAGGATCCCTGGGTGGGATATTGTTCTTTTCCCTCTTAATTCCTCTTCGTTCATTCATTGGTCCTGTATTCTGTTCCTACTTGGAATCTGCATTCATGTGATGTGTCCAGCATGTGGACCACATTAGGGGCTTGTTGACTAGATCCAAAGAAATGCCAAGCATGGACTGCTGTCTCCTAACATGATTTTAATGACATACCAGCCAGCGTAGTATACTTTACCTGCTACTTTGGGGCGTGTGTGTGTGTGTGTGTGTGTGTGTGTGTGTGTGTGTTAATAAAAAACTATTCAGGTGCCCAGGAGAAACAGGGCCCTACTGCCTTATCTCTTGTCTTTTCAAATCATTAACCTCCAAATTAGGATCTCTTCTGTTTCTGTTGTGGAAAGAGCTGGTAGATTTGATGATTATGTCTCCAGTTGGACCCTCAGATCAAAGATTTTGGCTCTGAGTCTTTGGCTCTGAGATTGTAATAATAAAGACTCAATCTGGATTTTTTTCTTACATACTTTTAATTGCTCTGTACATTGTTGGCTGGAAATAAATCATTTATAGCTTTATTTCTATTGAAGATGCTACTTTTCAGATATTTTATGTTTCTCCAGTAACCAGGGTTGAGATTATAAAATAGTCATTCCATTACAGTGGGCCGATAGCATTCGTATTGCAGTGTTTTATATTTGAAGAGATTCCAGATCACCTTGTTAAAAGTTGCAAGAATCACATATCTCAGGATGCCAGGGAGTAGAACCATCTTTTCTTATTGCCATCTGAGGATTTAGTGCTTCCCTAAGATACTACACCTGCAGTTGTTTAAGAATGCTGCTGTGAAAACTAGTACTTAACTCGAATTTTTGTGTTTGTGAAGATAGTAAGAAAATTTACCTGCCAGAAAAACAAAATGAGATTAGGACAGATGTTGTATTAATAGATTTTAGTTCTTAACTTCCTCCTTTCCTTTTATTCCCCCTTTCCTTCCTTTTCTTAATCCTTGTTGAGAGGAAAGGGCATTCAGGACCCTAGTCATCCTGTTTTATTCTCTTCTTTCATATTTAATATACAGATTGTCATTTTTACATTCTTCACATTGTCGAGGGAAGGCAGAGATATTTACTGTTTAGGAAATCTCAAGGAAATTTTAAGGGAATGAGAAAGGACATTTATTTTGGGGGGGGTACCAGCTGTTGCCGGCTGTTGTCGGGATGTTGTGCCTGTGAGGCAGGCAACAAAACCACTGAGCTAAATTCCCAGCCCTGAGAAAGGACATTTTAAAAGCTAATTCTATTTAGAAAAATGAGGTCTTTAGATTCATAATTTTGCTTTTGTGTAGGATAAATGTAATGATAGTGAAAAGCCTTGATCTTTTCATCTTTGTTTCTTCTGATAGGCATCTGTACGTCTCTTAGGGATTACCTTCAAGCTCAGGGCAACAGAAAAGAAATATTGAAGTTGGGAAAAATGAGACAGTACAGAATAAAATGAAATCCAGTAACAATACATTTCTGTGTCTCGTTATCACAAATGGGTATAGAGGGAAGAGAGCCAGTGTATCTCTCCTGAATTAAGTGCTTCCTTGGAATAATGTGGCCACCTAACCCCCCCCCCCAACTATAGAGGATACTTGCTGCTTAGAGAATGACTCTTGTTCCTGTCTTACCAGGGTGCTGTGTTTTCCCTGTATACCATTCCATATTAGAGAAAATGTATAGAAAATTTGAGCGTTTTCCTGTTATCTCTGAATAGCATTTGTGTAAGTGTATTGTCATTTCAAGAACCACATCCTGGCTAAACCTAGTGTCCTGGAAGCAATTTAAATATCCTTCAAGGAAGAGTCTTATCAAGTTTTTATTATGTTTAAAAATGCTGTTGTCATTGTTTCTTATACATGGTTAAAAATCTCCGTCAAAATTCATGTTGAGTGGCTTCCAGAGAGGTGACATGTTTTTGTTTTGGTGCACGTGTGTGTGTGTGTGTGTGTGTGTGGTTGCTTTTTGAGCTCATCTGCCTTTGAAATGGGCTCGCTAAGTGTGCACCATAGGTAGCATTTCCATTTGTACTGATTGTCCTCTCTGGGGGCCATTTGGGGACATCAAATCCAAGGCATGGTGCCTAGTGGGGCTGTAGTCTAATGTGAAGGTGTTACAGTCTGATGTGCTGCTGTTATCTATTTCAGGGACAGGAGAGAGTGGCAAGAGTACATTTATCAAGCAGATGAGAATCATCCATGGGTCAGGGTATTCTGATGAAGACAAGAGGGGCTTCACTAAACTGGTGTATCAGAACATCTTCACAGCCATGCAGGCCATGATCAGAGCTATGGACACCCTCAAGATCCCGTACAAGTATGAGCATAATAAGGTAGGTGGAACTCTTCATTGGAGCAGTTGGACAAAACCATCAGCAATGGTACAGCAATATGAATGGTCTCTTGTGTGTAGTCTGTTTTTGAAATGTACATTCCTCTTTTGGTTCTGAGACTCTTAATGCATGCTTAAGTGTTTATAAATATCTCTTTTTTAAATCTTTTTTTTTTTTTTTTTGGTACTGGGGATTGAGCTCGGGTCCTTGTGCTTGCAAGGCAGGTGGCGTCTTTCTTAAATCTTAAAAAATTAGGAATTGTGTTTTAGTGATAGCAGTAAAAGACATTTGGAATTTGACAATAAATATATAGAGGCTTAGATTTTAGGGGAGCACATTGTATTAAGGAAATGGTTTCTGAATGCCATACAGATCAGACAGAATGAAGGAATTCAAAGATGTGGTGGCTTTGTTTCAACCTCCTACTGTTTGTGCTTCATTGAAAAAAGGAAACTAGCTTAAGATCATTCTGTCTGGTTTAATTTTGAATTTTGTAACTTCCTTTCAGTAATGCCACAGGCTTCATTTTATTTCAAAGTAAGGCCATCTGTCAACTTCCAATAACCTTTTCAACACATCCCCTTATAATTGTGTTACAGTAATGGAAACTTATAAAATCTTTTGAGAAAGGATGAGGGAAAAATAGAATTTCAGCTTTTTAGAAAGCAAAATAAACTTTTTTTTTGAGTACTTTTGTTTTTTATTTGAGTGATGAAAATGCTCTGGAAATAGATGTGATGATTGCAAAGCATTACGAACATACTAAAAACAGTGAACTTCACACTTAGAAATTACTAAAGTAATAAATGAATCTTAGGATAATTGTATCTCAATGAAAAATTTTAAATGCTGTTATGAAAATCACAATATAAAAATCTAGAGTTATAATGTTTCACTAGACACAGTTTTGAGATATAACAAACCACAATCATCTGAAGAGTCTTTTTAATTAAGATACATCCAGTAAAAAATTGTGCATTGTAGGAAAACTTTTCACAAACACATACAATTGAAACTACCCTTCTGAAATAAATGTATTTCTTTGAAAAATGTAATTACAATTTTATATTTTTCAAAGTTAATAGAATTATACTTAGGAAAGGCACTGCTAACTCATAGCATTAAATGAAAATAGTTCACCTTCTTTGTAAAAGTGATTTAGAGAACCATAAGAATGTTGCATGACACTTTTTCTTTTGGAAACCTCCTACATTGTAAAACTATCATTCTATCTTCTATCATTCATATTCATGTAGATATTCTTATATACATATATAATTCAAGTTCAAAGATTGAAACAGAAAATACAGAAAGCAAAATTCACTGACAAATTTGAAAGCATATTTTTTATATATTTCACTACTATTGGTCACAACATTTTTAGATTCAATTTCATGTTAGGGATTTTGTGACTAATATAAAGTATGTGACATGACCGGAGATTTAGCTTAGTGGTTTCGCCATCTGCACAAGGACCCGAGTTCAATCCCCGGTACCTCCCCCACCCCCCACCCCAGAAAAAGTATGTGACATGAAATGTCAAAAAAGTAGTGCTTATAAAATATGTGATAAAGTATTTATCTCTTTTAATATTACATGAAGCTACATTTTACCAAATTATGAAACTATATAGGGCAGTTTTAAACAATATTCAGAGACTCTTTTTTTCTATTTTTTTCAACTTCTATTTCAGCTTCATTTCCAGCTTCAGCTTTGTTTTCATCTTCCTCTTTTATCTCTCGCATCTTTCTCATCTCTTCTTCCATGTTCTTTCCCATCTTGTCTTTCCCTTCTGTCTCTTCTGTCTTTTTCTTTTTCCTTTCCATCTTCTGCATTTCCACCTTCATCTTCCTGTCCATATCTCTCTTTTTCATATTGCTGTTATCTCCTTTCTCTTTTCCATCTTTATCCTTTTTTCCATCTTCCTTCTCTTTCCCACCTCCTTTCTCTTTTCCATGTTTTTCCCCCTTTTTCTCCTTCTCCCTCTTCATCCTCTTGATCTCTTTTTCATTTTGATAATCTTTCCTTTCTCCATCTTCTCCTTTCTTGTTTCTGTCTTTGTCTTCTTTCCCCTCTTGACCTTGTGTTTCATCTTCTTTCTCTTCTTTACTTTGATCTTGTTTTTCTGATCTTTTACATCTTGTTTTTCTTCTGCTGTCACTGCTTCTTTCTTTTCTCCTCCCTCTTTTCCAGTGTCATCATTTTTTTCATCTTTTATTGCCTCAATTTCTTTTTTAAGAGCTAGTGTCTCTATAATTTTGTTTTGTCCATTTTCATCATTTTTTATTGTTGCAGTCTTCTTCAACAACTTTTTGCTTGATTTCAGCTAGTATTTTCACATTTGCATCTATGTTTCTTTCTGTCATATCATTTTTGGTCTTCATTTTAGCAAACAGTCTAGCTGATCTTCTCTTTGGCTCTTGCCTTATGTCACCTTGACCTGCAGCCTAAGAGGTGCCAGAAATTTTGAAGTGAGGGTTGCGGAAGAACTGTAGTCCATGAATAATTCAGAGCAATTTGTTGTCTAAAGGCAACAAATCTCCTGCTGTCTTCAAACATCAACAATAGTTTATAGGATGGGACCCTTTTCACCTTTCCACCTTCAGCTAGAGAGCTCCAAGAGAGCCTAGTCTCTCAACCCTAAAGTTTCTACTTACAGAGGCAAATTTTTCCCTTTTCTAAGACAGTTTGAAGTCTGCTCCGCCTAATGGCACAATGTTACCATTTCATAGGCATCTGGCATAACAAGAAGTGGAGGAGGGAATAAAAAAAAGGGAGGGAGCAAGAAAGCAAGGAAGAAAGGATGGGTGAGAGGGAGGGGAGAAGAAAGGAAAGAAGGCATAAGCTTCTAATATTTAACATTATCTCATATTGAAATGAAAAACTCCTTCCCCTAAGTAAAACCAAATGTTGTAATTGCTCTTTAAGTATTACAAAGACAGCAAACGATGCTGTATTGATATATTTGAGGGTGGCTCCCCAGTGGAGTTCATGCTGCACTTGCTGTACAGAAGGCTTGTAGACAGGGACTGGAGCTACGCCTGGGCTTGATGGCCTGTGCAGATACCGCCAGTCTGAGAAAAGGGAAATCTGGAATTTGTAGAAATGTCTTTATAGTATGTTTTCTTTCCTTCCCCTAATCAGAAACTCCCCCCTCCCTCCATATATATTTTTGATAGGTATAGCCTTTTACTCCTTAGGGCGTATAGGTACTGATCTAATAGTAAGCCTCACTGTATTTGTACCTATACAGTAATTTAGAGCCCAAGAATTTTCATTCTCTCAGTACCCTTGAGAAATCCACTGTGAGGCATATTACCGTTTGTGACCATCAGTAGATAAATAGTAAGAAGTTAGCAAGCCTACTGTGACTCATAAACTGAGATAGATTTAGTTCACAAAAATGAATCCATAGATACAATAAGACAATTCTATGTACCTTCATCACTGTTATTAACAAAAGGTTTCTAAATATATCAAATCATCTTCAAATCAGGCATTTGTTTTTCTTGAATGGGTCCTTGAAATTAACTGGCACACTTGATACATCCCGGACAGGGACACTGCCAGTTCAAATGAGCCCACCCAGCATCTTAGAGAAACATAGGTTTCATTTTACTTAGGTCATGAGTAGTCACCAGAGGACATGTCAGTAGGTCACAGAGGACACATCAGTGAGTCACAAACCTGCCATTTCTCTAACCCACCTCCTCAAACACCTGCCAAAATATGCTATGAAAAGCCTCTTAGCCTGTAAGAGACAACTTCTCTGTTCTGCTCGCACAGAGAGGTCTCTTGTAGGTTTAACGATAAATCTGCTTGGACTGCTGAGTTTGCATCCCTTCTTTCCTTCCAATGGCAATTAATCTCCATAAGTAACAAAGACACCTCTGCGAGTAATTCTGCCTGCTTTCACTTTTAAGAGTGAAAAGAGCTGGGCAGGTTTGTGAGCCCAGGAACATGATACTTGAACCAGAGTAGACTGCATGGGTTTATCTCAGCAGTCTAAATTGTAAAGGATTAGGTCTGGGTTTTTTGTTTATTTTGTTCTCTTTTTTCTCTACACTAAGAAATTCCAGTGTAATAATTTTCTAAAATAGGTGGCATGCTTATTGGGTTTTTTTTTTTTGGTACTGGGGATCGAACTCGGGTCCTTGTGCTTGCGCAGCAGGCGGTGAAACCACCTTGCTAAATCCCTGGCCTTTTTATTTCTTTATTGTAAGAAATTGCTATTTAGTTGTAAGAATATGCTATGGAAGAGTGTTGTTTGTTTCTTTTGACAGTGACTTTTGTAATCAACAGTTGATAATATGATGATCTGGTGGAATTCCTGCCAAGTTACCGTCTGCACTGTGTATCTATTTTGTACATGTACACATGCATGCTTGTCAGTTTGCATGTTATAATTTAGTACAATCTACCTAAAATTTTCTAAAGAGGTGTCTTCTTAGGTGCCCCAGAAGAATACTTCAGGATCTTGCCCTGATGTTAGAATGTATAGGAAAATTATTTATTAGGCTCCCATGTAGACGCAGCAAGGATAGGGCAAGATTTATAACACACAGAAGAATATTTCACACTGTTATTTGAATTCTTTATGTCCATGCTAACTAGATTTTACTATGTTGAATACTGTTCATTTATAAATTGACAACATAAAAATTATATGGACTTTTTTCAGCTATCATAAAATTATCCTTTGAAATCTTCCTGTGTCTTTTGGTCACTCCCAGACTAATATTGCCTAATACTGTGACATCAGTGTGTGAAGAGCTTCGAATTTCTCATATTTAATCTTTCTTAATTAATAATATAAAGTACGTTTGCATTTGATCCACTTTTGGTACATCATATACATATTCTAAAGCATCACTGTCTGTTTGCTTGCTTCATCCATTAATTTCCTACCCTCTGTTCACTCCTTGCCTTTGTTAATACATGTTAAGGAAATAATGTCTTCTTTTTGTTCAAGTCAGCTGCCACTTCCTCTTAAGAGTTTT